TTTTTTCATTGGACTCTACTTTGGAAGAATAAACTGATACCAGAAGGACAATACTAACATACTAATTGCTTTGGTTAACACTACTAGAAGAAAAGAAGAAGCTTCGACGATGAAGAAAAAGAAATATAAAACACTGGATTCTCTGATTTGACTATAAAAAGTTTAACAGACTAACATATTACTAATACCACTCACTCTTTTCTTTGTCCCTCTTTATACCCTTCCTTATTTCTAACTTCTAGCGAAATATCTCCCCTTTTTAGGGGAACGAATAAAGCTTTCTTTAAAAAAAAAAAGTAAGTGTATTATTTGGACAGAAACACTCTTATAGAATCACAACAGGGAGGACTACAAGCATGTTTAACTATTAAGCTGCAACACTGAATGCTTTAATACTGTATCATTCAGTACGTTATAGCAGTTTAATTGTTGCCAAAATTGCTTACATTTACAATATTTTCAAGATTTTTTTTGTTTATGTCTCCAGTATGCCTTTCCCCCCCTAGAGTTCTCCCAAATTTTGCAATTTTTCCATTGGACATCAGACATTTGGAATGAGTGAAATGCTTTGTAAGGCAAGGTGTTTCTCACTCAAAAACAAAACATTTTATGGGAGGGTATTTTTTGTACTCCCCAAAATTTTCTGATTTTTTTTGTCAGAAAAATTGCAAAGGACTTAGGAAAGGGGAACAGGCCTATCTGAATTTTTCTCTAGGCCTTCACATTTCTACACTGGAGCCACCAGAGCAAAGCACCCCTGGTGCAGGTCGTGGCACTCTTCATTGAGCCTTCTAAGATCAGAGCTATTGCTCAGCACGCTGCTTGACCTGAGTAGTTTTGGGCTTGCATGGTTCCTCCTCCTCCTTGAGCAGCTGGATTCCCTTCCCCACTTTCTGTTCCTTGGAAAACGACAGACAGATGTTATGTGAACAGCAGGTAAACTGTAGTGTGCCCAAGTCATAATTTGCCTGTAAACCAGAACTGCAAACCAATTTGTTCATAGTTTGTGGATAAACAGAAAGAAAGGAGTATGCACAAGGCCATGGCAAGTAACCAGTCTTCCAAATCATGTAAACTTTATATCTCTGTCAGTTGCCATATGCTGTTAAGCTTCTCACTTACTGATGCGGAGGTCCTAGACATGGAGTGAAAAGTATTCTTTGTGCCCACATTAATGAGACAGACTTAGTATTTGCATAAATCACAAAATTATTTCCAAAACTTTCTCTGGAACACATTTAGGCAAAAAATTAAGTTGAAATTGACATTTTGCACAGTGTCTGTGTGTCATGTCTATGCAGTAGGGGGGAAAGAGGGCTCAGGTGAGGTTTCTTGTCTTCTTCATTGTGTTGTTTGAACTTATGTAGTAAAAGCTAGACAGTAATTCAATTTTGTGTCTTTTTCTAGGTGAACGGAAGAGCCCTTATGTTGCTGTGTGCTGTATAGCGATGGCCTTCAGTATTCTGTTTGTCCAGTAACAGTTGGGGAAAAGTCAGGAGTATGTTGGCTGTCTAACTACAGTAGAATAAAAGACTCTGGGAAGCAGAAAAAATGGAAAATGTATTCACCTTAATTATCCACCAGACAAGACAAATTTGTGACAAGTTTCATATCTTCCATAATAGAAGAGGGGTGCATTAATTTGTAATAATTTGTTTATTAATAGTCATATTTGTAGATTTTCCCTATTCCTTCATGTGTACTGTATTCTGAATTTCAATTGAGATTTTAGACAGATGGCTTAAATTCCTGTTTGAGAGGTGAACTTGATGTTAAAATCCCAAACCCTTTTTAAAAAATGTAGTTATAAAATGTTTACAAAATCTGCATTTTAAAAATACAAATAGAAAATAAAGAAAACACCATAGACAGAAAGGCAAAGTATAACTAAATCATTACTAATTACAACTAAAATTATGTTAGCATTATTCTGATTAGGAACAAGACCAAATTAAAGGCAGAGGAATAGAAACAAAAGCTTTAAGTACAGAACAAATTTAAAGCTAGAATCACTGATGACATTAATAGGAGTTTGGTTTAAAGAAAACAGTACTGTATTAGAAAACAACTGTTCACAAACTATCCTGTTCACTTATCAATTCAATGAGATGTTTTTTCTGTTTGAGTAATTGCTTATCAAATATTTTTGATCAACTTGCTCCTGATGTTTAATAAACAATTAGTATAATTGCTGTGAATTAATATTATCTGCAGCTCTGTAAACTCTGAAACTTATTTGAGTGCATGAGAAAAATATTTCCAGTTTATTCTGAAATGTGGTTTTTAATTTCCTTGACCAGCAATTAGGTTTTAGGTTTTTTCCCTTGGACATGCAACCATTACTGGTGATTTCAGTTCACAGTGAATCAGTATTAACTAATGTGGCTATTCATTTTTGTGGTTAACTGCTTGTAAAGCAAATTTTGGCTTCTTAACAGATAGTAGAAATACTGTAGTGTCCCTTGAATGTATTTTTGTACCAAACAATTTTTTATAAATTATTTGTTGTAGTCAACTTCTCATGAATGAAGTTTGCAGACATTTTGCTGAATTTTTCAAGGTTTGACTGTGTACACAAGAATGAACATGTGTATAATAAAATTTCATACCGTTGCCATAAGTCGGAAGTGGCTTGACGGTACTTAACACAAACACAATAAATTGACATTGTTTAGCAAATTTTGCTAAATGGAGCTAGAAAATTATGCAAAACAATAAATAGAAAATATATGATTTCACACAACTTGGATATGAATTTATATGTGATGCTGAAGGGAGATACCAGCTGTCAGTGCATTCATTTTCTTGGTTAACAGCACAAGGTCGCAGGGCATCCTTATACATGCAGGAATGGGACTTCCTGGGAGGAATTATGGCAGGCTGACATCTCCGATTCAGGGGGGAAGCACCATGGCTGCCCAAAAAAGAGGCTGGCTAACCTTGCTGTTTTCTGACCTATACATGTAGACAGCCTTGAAGCCATCCTGTTCTGTGAATCTGCCTGAAATGTTTCCAGTCTTTTTCTAGCAGTGCTCTTTAAGATTTGAAATGATGGAGCTCATATCAAGTTTCCAAATTTTAAACTGATAAAGTACTCTGTGAAACAACACTGCATAGATGATATGAAATCTGTGTAGAAAATCATTTGCATCTTTTAGAACAAACATTAACATGTCAAAATTTAATTCACAAAGCATCTGGAATGTGGCCCAGAAATCCAGTTCACATGGGCTTGTATCCTGAGTGCCCTTTCTGCTTGTTGAAGGGGGACATTGTAATTTTCACTAATCCTCTCCACTGCAGCCTACCACTTTGATCCTCGTGTTGTTTGGGGGGGGGGGGTTCCACTATCTCAAGGAGCACAATTCCAAAAGGACCTGTAGGAAGAGGGAGGCAAGAGAATCATCATTCATACTACACAGCTCTGCTTGCATTGCATAGGCTTCAAGCCATTGTTCATAGAATCTCAGCAATACATGCATTGTTGGGAGGAGGCTGTTTATTTGTGTTTAACTGCAGTTGGAGGGGAGCAAAAGCAGAATTGCAATCAGTTGTGTTTTTTAGCACAAATACATCAAACACAGGAAGGGTTTTTCTGTAAAATCCTTTAAAAATACAGCCAGATTGTCTGTTTAGCCTTTATCTTTCAGTTTCCAGTTCTTTACTATTGGCTTTAAAATGTATAACCACAAGTTAGCCTTGTTGAACAGGGATAAGATTGGGCTTCTTTCCTATTATTCAGCAGCTGTAGTTTAGCATTTGGAACTATTGAACACAATAATGTTCAAAGGGGAATCATACATCAGTACTGCATTCATATGTGAGAGAAATGGTTAATAGTGTGTGTCGCGTCTGGCCCTCTGATCAGCCACTGTGTAAATGCAGCAAGCAGGCTGAAACACACTTGAAGCATGAAGCAGTTCTAAAGTTCTGGGTCAACATGATTATGCGCTCACTAAGAATACTACTGTCATAGAGGCTGGAAAACAGTTGACCATTGGTTTCACTGCTGTCTCGGGCAGAATTAGCATTACCTTCCTTATGTTTAAATTATTGGAGATGATGACAGCTGGGCTGCATTCTAATGATTTCAGCATTTTCAAAGTGGAAGGTATGCAAAGTTGCTTAAAAGGATAGATTTCATAAAGGAACTGATTTTTTATTTTGCCTGTTTTATTAGAGGAAAGAAGCTGGCATTCCAGGAGAGTGAGTTTGGGAGAAAGGACCATTATGACAAGTGTGTGTGCCACTTAACCAAAATAATTGAAACTGTTAACAAAATAAAAGGCTGTTTGTATTTCATATTATTCAAAGAACAAGGGTGTTACTTCATGAACTACATATTTCTTAAATATGAAGAGAAATCCTAGGGAGTGATCTGGTTTATCCTGGCATTGCCTTATTACAAAATGTCTTTCAATGTGGAATTGATTTTTAAATACAAATGTAAAATGAAATATTCCTGGCTGTGTTGTGATCTTTCCGATCCTGGTAATTCACACGTATGACTAGTGATTAGGAACATACGTGCCATGTCTGGTAAATGAGTACAGAGTGAAACTAAGCCTCTGGTGTGAAAAGGTTAACAATATGACAGTTGAAATTCTGTGTATTCTTGGCTGGATAGAAAAGGGAGAAAAAATATTTTGAAAAGGTTAGATGGGAAAGCAGCCTCGGAAAGTATGATCTTCCATGCCCTTAATACAGGCCCAATTCGTTCCCAAGGGACCCAGTACAATCATAGGATTGACTCAGAGATTCAGAGTGAAGATTATTAACGACTCATTCTCTAGGGACTCGTTATTCATCTCCTTTTTTCGTGCCTTGGGATGTGGCATAGAACATCTTCAAAAATACATGCCCCAAATCACCTAAAGTGGTTTAGCTATCTTTCCCACCCAAGTCATCCCAAAGGTCCAGAGAGCCACTTCCTGCCCATAGCCATAAAAATAAAAAAGATTGCATGTGATGCACATAAAAACAAGCTGTGAAACATACCTGCTAAAACATTAACAAGTGAGCTTAAAGCCCAGGCTATTGTACTCTGATTGGCACTGTTCCCACCCACAGTCAAGGCAGTTATAGAAGGGGTGGGTGGGAATATAATATTCAGTGTGTGTTTATGGTTGGGAATTTTAAACTGATTATAGAACTCAGAGGTAGTATTTAGCCGTTGGATTCTTTAACTGTGACATGAGGTTTAGTTGTTCTGATGATAACCTTGAATGAATAGCATGTCTATAGCGGCTAAACGCATTGGATAGAATCCAGAGTGGTCCTTCCGGTTGATGGAAGGAGTTCATTAGCAGAAGGGCACATTGTGTTTAACCTATGCGTTTGTGTCTGAATCAGTTTTTCCACCTAGTGATTTTTACAGGAATGTACATTGTTCATTCATTTACTTAATTCATTTATATTCTGCCAGTAGGGGCCCAAAACAACTTACAACAATATCCTCCCCTCCATTTTATCCTCACAGCAACCCTATGAGGTTTCGTTGAGAGTCAATCAGCCAAGGTCAATCAGCAAGCTTCCATGACAGAGTGGAGAATTAAACCAGGGTCTTCCAGATCCTAGTCCAACCCTCTAAACTTCTACATGACATGCTTGTGTAAATAAAGCCATAGGTACGTAGGTAAATAGTTGTTGCTATATGAGAAAACCGAAAGAGACCCATGATTTAAGTTTATTAGGAAGTTTATTCTTATAGAAAAAGGCTTGTTTTGACCCCATGGCCATGTAAGAACAACATAACTTCATTTTTGATAGATGTCCTTTTAGCAGACGGCTTCTTGAAGAAAACAAGCATTTGATTCTATTGCCTCTGAAGAAGATTTCATTTGAGATGTGTTTAGGATCTATGACTCTTAGGGTGCGTTCAGACGGGCCATTTAAGCCGGCATAAACTGCTCCTGTTGGAACCGGAGCAGTTTGATCCGGAAGAAATGCGATCACACTCACCTCCTGACTGCACAGCACATCACGATATGCCCGTTCACACTACCAATGCGCAGAAGCGCTCGTCGGCGGTTTTTTAAAAAATTACATTTTGCACATAGGCAGCCATCCACAGAGTTGAGGTCTTCGCGCAGGCGCAGAACACCCCGTCCCGAAAAGCGTGCCCTAAAGTGAAGACTTCCCTTTAAACTTTTACAGCGAAAAGGACCTCCGTGAGGTCCCGGACTTGTCTGCAGCCTAAAACTAAGCATCTTTTTTTGTTTGTTTGTTTTACAACCGCCGGGGCAAAGCTTCGCCCAAGCGCACATAGAGGAAGCTTAAAAAAAATGGCGGCCGAAAAGCGGAAGCCTCGGGCTTCCGAACGGAAGTGGCTCTACACCGGCGGAGAGCGATCAGATGGGGATAATGTGGCTAGAATCTGAACACTCAGGATACCACCACTTGGGGACCTAGTAGCAGAATACACCGGTTTAAAGGGTGTTTGCAACGGTTAGGGACGGAAGGCAGATGTTGGCTGTATGATCGCGCGTAAGTACTCCGATTCTAATCGGCTCGTATACCAGCTCAAATGCCCATCTGAATGCACCCTTACTGAGGGGGGGGGGGCTAAACTTTTAAATTCAATATCTACATGAGGCTTACATGCTTTTTTCCATTACCTGAAGCTCTACCCTTTTGCCACTTTCACTGTTTTAGAAAAGTAAGCATCAATTTTTACAGTTAGAAAAATTATATTGGATTACAGAAATGTTCATATTTCAGAGCTGTCCTTTTTCATAAGCAAGAAATAACATCCTTGTGCTGTGCTTTGCCTGAGGGAAATGATAGATGTATATGACATCCATCCTAC